AGTTCAGAACAAAACATCCCAAAGATGAAATATTAATGCCACAAGAGCATGCTAAGTATGTAACTTAAGAATTTGACACTGGGAAACGAAGCTATGTGCTATTTATGCCCATTTAAAATCTTATATTCATACTATTAGTAATTGTATTTTTATATAATATACACCTATATTTAAAAGCAGCAGAAGAGCTAATCAATCTTTTCCATTACATGCTATCCAGATAGGTTGGACTTCAACACCCAGAATTTCAGGGGTATTGCAGGATAGGGACTCAGGGAATTTGTGTGTTCTTCCAACAGATGTGGAGGAAATAATATGACTCTGTGATAATAACTGAATTAAACTAAGAATAATAGAATTATAAGCCTAGTATTAAAAATGCAAAAGTACACCTCTATGGCAGTATTTTATGGTGCTATCAAATTTGAACTCCTTCCAAAAGGGGTTTGAAGGTTACTAATGCCTTGCTTAGATGGTGTAGGTGCCAGCGATGGCCTTCTTATTTTATGGTTTTATATTTATATATAATAATAAGTAGTAGATAATAAAGTTACCAGTAAAGTAAAATTGTCTAGTGCATTCAAAATAGAAGGATATTTGTTGTGCTTGCATACAATTTTCACCATGCAAGTTTGTAATATTTCCCCAGAAACAAGCTGCAGCAGGTTTAAGGAACTTATCCATAACACATATTAAAAGAGCAGTAAGATTAACCAAATGTCATAATGCTTCATTAACACATTGTGCTATGCCAGGGGTAGGCAACCTTGGCTCTTTTATGATTCGTGGACTTCAACTCCCAGAATTCCTGAGTCAGCTGTGCTGACTCAGGAATTCTGGGAGTTGAAATCCACAAATCATAAAAAAGCCAAGGTTGCCTACCCCTGTGCTATGCCATTGTTTCATTTTGGCTATGTGTGATATATGAACCAAACCAGTTGTGGCTTAATATTCTATGTGAAACTGATGACCATGGTCAAAAGGTAAAGGTAAAGGTTTCCCCTATCCAGTCATATCTGACTCTAGGGGCTGGTGTTCATCTAAGTTTCCTAGTCAAGGGAGCCAGCGTTGTTCCATGGTCATGTGACCAGCTGCATGACTATATGCCGAGGTGCACGGAATCCTATTACCTTCCAACTGAAGTGCTACCTATTTGTCTACTTGCATTTGCATGCTTTAGAACTGCATGGTGGGCAGGATGGTTTGGTTAACAAGCTATTGTTAAACAAATCATAGCTTGGTGCAAATATAAGTATGTGACTTGTTCCAAATCTTTTCTAGCTCTTAGAGAGCAAATGTGCATCATTAAGGATAAAAGCTTGGAGAAACATAGCAAGAATTCAGGCATGTTTTATTTAGTTCTGCTTCCAGAAGAACTCCATTACCAGCTGTTGAGTAAAATATTCTTGTGGGAAAATACGGCTGTTACATCTTCTATTACTGAACAATGAAATATTGTCACACAGAAGTATTTTATCTAGAACTGTATGTGTTATTGATTGAAACAGTGGTAATGTTTCCTAAGAAATCTTGGCATATATCAATATAGTGCTAGTATAGTGCATATTCAATTCAATTCAATTCAAATTTAATTTATATACCGCCCTTCTCCCATAGGACTCAGGGCGGTTCACAGCATATTTAAAAAACAGATACTATACACAAATACAAAAAATACAAAAAATACAACAATATAAACCCCAATAAAACCGAATTAAAAACCAAATATTGACGGCTGTGTTTCCAATTAAAATTGCTTCTAAAATCATCCCTACCTAAAATCCTCCCTAGGTCAGGCCCGCTTGCTGGAAAAGCCATGTCTTGAGGGCGCAGCGGAAAGTAAGGAGATCCGGAATCATCCGGATCTCGGGGGGCAGTTCGTTCCAGAGGGTGGGGGCACCCACAGAGAAGGCCCTCCCCCTGGGGGTCGCCAGCCGACATTGCTTGGCCGACGGCACCCTGAGGAGGCCCGCTCTGTGGGAGCGTACCGGTCTATGGGAGGGAATCTGTGGCAGAAGGCGGTCTCGGAGG